GGGGGGGGGCAGCAGCCACTGGCTCAGGCACTTGTCAAAACACAGGCCCCTGAGGTGTGAAGTCCTCACCCCAGCAGGAGAGCGTGTGGGCCCTGCTGCCCGGAGAACTCATTAACTCGGGCAGCTCCCAAATGAACCCACCAGAGCCGCTGGTGATAAGGAGATCAAAGGTGGCAGAGGCATGGGGAAAGGGAAGAAGGAGGCTGGCTGGCAGGAGGTGGCAGAACCCAGGCTCCAGGTTGGGGTCCCTTCTCTGCCCCTACTTGGCTCCATCAGGCCCACTGACCAGAGCTTTGCACAGTCTGGGCCCAGAGACCCCAGGGGTGACAGGAGAGGGAGGGACTGCCATGTGGCGCCTCTAATTTGTTAGCCTTTAGGACTGAAGACCTTGCCTCTTCCCTGCCATGTTTGTGGGCTCTTTGTCTCCACACTCACCCCTGGGCCCTTTTAACCGTCCCTCAGTCCTGACACCAGAGACCCCTTGTCACACACACCACTTATGGTGCCCTCTCCTGCTCCAGATCTCAGTGGCTCCCGTGTAAGAGCCCAGTGAATGTTAACGGTCCTACGCTGTGCACCCAGGGTAGGTTGGCACTGCCTCTCCTGGGTGTCAGTGGGCATAAGCATTTCTGGGACAGACAGAGGAGGGGGTATAGAAGATGTTAGAGGAGATCAAGTGCACAGAAGATAAGAGAGACAAGGGGAGGGGTGGTGGTGGGCAGAGATGCCCGGGGAGAAGGTACCAAGCTGCTTTGCTTTCTCTCCTACCAGCTCTCACAAGGCCTGAAACTATGGAGGATGCAAAACAGACCTGACACTTCTCTAGACCAGGAAGCCAGGTGCCAGGTACCGCACAGTCCAGCTGGAGACATGGTGCAGGAAGTAGCTGTGATGACGGGGTGCACACTCCAGCCCGAGGGGTCAGGGAGGCGATGTGAATTCCCTGCGAGATTTCCTGTGTGCCAATCATGTTGTCTGTAAATAGAGACAATTTAATTCTTTCCAATCTGTATGTATGCCTTTTGTTTTTTCTTACCGCACAAGCTAGACTCCCCAGGACAATGCTGGATAGGTGTGGGAAGGAGCAGACACTCTTGCCCTTTTCTCAGTATTGGGGGGAAAGCTTTCAGTCTTTCACTATTTGGTATGATATCAACTATATGTTCTTTGTAGATTCCTTTTATCAGATTGAGAAAGTTCCCCTCTGTTCCTAGTTCGCTGAGAATTTTTATCTTGAAGGGGTGCTGAATTTTGTCAAACGCTTTCTCTGTGTCATTTCCACTCATTTCATTGGCAAAGCCTGTCACACCTGCCCCAGAGTGACAGGACCCCAGCTAGAGGATAGGGGTGGCCACAGGCCCAGCCCTGATGCTGCCAGGCTCAGGGTGTCCTGGAGGGCCTCGGGCTCACCCATCCCTCCGCTCAGATGTCCAGCAACCCGACCAGATTTGGCCAGCTTGTTTGGGGTGCCTGGGACAGCTTCCCACTAGTGGTTCCCCAGCTCACCAGCACCCGGGAAGGGTGGTGCAGGCCCAACCCGCCTCAGAGGAGGGATGGATCATTGTTCCCCTCCCCTCCAGCGGGAATCAGGGCCTCAGGCCTGGTCCCTAGCTGATTCTGCAGACCTGGAGGCAGCAAGCAAGTCCCTAGGATCCCATTATACAAATTAGAAACGAAGGTGCCAGAAAATTCATTTATTTGCATAAGGTCCCCAACAGGGGAAGACAGCCCAGACCTAGGTACTGGGCTTGCAGGCCTGTGATCTGCTTCCTTCACCTGCTGAGCCGGCCCCACACCCGGGGCTGGGCGCGGGCAGGAGGCCGAGCGCCTGGGTCTGATGCCCCCGACGGCCCAGGTGGGGCCGGCACCTTCGCCCCCGTCGGTTCAAGGGTCCAGGCCCCACCCCTCCGGGCCCCGAGCCCGCTTTGAAGTGCTGATGAGGCCTGGAGGGGGCCCCTTCGCACCCCGCGCCCCGGATAAAGCGGCCGCCGGCCCGAGACGCCGCGGCCCAGCCT